TTTTGTTTTAAAGTGACCTGATTAACCTGCTGATGAGATAAAACCTCTATCTAAATCACATATTAGGAAGTTGGCCCCTCTGATTCCCCCATTCTCACTTTAGGTGATTCTAAAACGCTTTGCTATTTGTGGTTCAAGCATGCTGCAAGATGGAACAGGGGGAACCGCTGGAGTCAGGCATTGTCACGAATGAGTAGTAGTAGCAGCAGCAGCAGATCAATTCATCTTTTGGGACAAAGAAAACCAATAAGCAGCAACACTAATTCAAATACTGCTCTTTGGAGCCACTTAGTTTAGAAATAAACAGCCCGATATATATCCATTGACTCAAAAGATTTTTTAAAATCACAGAATTTTAGAAAATAATTGATCATTATCATGACCCTTCATTGCTGAGAAAGGTTGTATTATGTTTAATGCCCTAATTGTGAGTGGTATAAGTCACTTTAGAAAGGATTTTATTCAAAACTGTTATTTTTTATAGAAAATAATTGATCATTATCATGACCCTTCATTGCTGAGAAAGGTTGTATTATGTTTAAAGCCCTAATTGTGAGTGGTATAAGTCACTTTAGAAAGGATTTTATTCAAAACTGTTATTTTTTTAAAATCCAGTGCTTTAAGAGATATGCCTCCAACTACCCAATATTAAAGATTTATTATACATTACTTTTCTTAGTTATCTAAGTGGTTGTAGGGAGGGCTCATGATTGATTTGTCTGCATCATCAAAAGTGTAGAGAGTCACCTGGTATGATATTAACAATAATAAATATCACTAACATTTATTGAGTACTTATATGCCATGCTGTTCTAATGCCCGTCATCTAATTTGACAGATAATAGACTCACCATACGCTAATGTGAGATACATTAAATTGGAATCCTAATTTGAGGATCTGAGGACACCTTAGAAAAGAATAAACATATAATTTTCCATATGCAGAAATGGTAGGTTTGAAGAAACTAAAATGTAGAAAACTGGCTGAGGTACATTGGATGTTTGTGGCAAGGCAAAAAATACCACGCAAAGAAACTGATGAAATCCTTTTGTTTTTCTCATATAGCATTTCTCCTGCTTCTTTGCATAGTTGTAATATTTCTCCCTCTTTATCCTTTTGCCCTCATCCTAGACTCCTTTCCCCCTTACCACACTAATATTGATTCTCTTACTCCTAGTGCATCACTAGCAGACTTGCTCTTAGGTTACTTTAACCTCAAGTAATATTTCTTGGTAATAAACAGCAACTATCAAGTAAAATTTCTTGGTAAAAATCCTTTTAGGTCCTTGTAATCACTTAACACACTGAAAATATCTGCATCACTTTCAATATAATATATATTTTCTCCACTGCGTATCATTCCTTGCTCTGTACCCATGAGTCAATTGAGATTCTCCTTTGCAGTATTCCTGTCAATATTTATAGAACAGGTAGGTGGTATGAATTTTAATTCCTTCTGCAATCCTCTTGACTTGGAAGTTTGCTTTCCCGATGTCTCAGCCTTGCCTTTTATCATTGCTGCATCATCTCCTCAGAAGAGGAGTTACCAGGGCCACTCAGCACTTACTTTGTTGAGGTTTCTGATATGTTTATCTGCATCATCGTTTCATAAAAATAACTCTTACTCACTGTGCTCTTCATGTTTACAGAGTTGCAGCTGAATTATATGGGTTATTTGCTCATACCTTTTCAGGTCATAAGAAAAGAAGAAAGGTTTATGTAGCATCATTCATTCATTCAACAATTCTTTGAGCATCTACAGTGTGCGTTGTGCTAAGCTCTGGGCTTCCAGGGGTGAACTAGACAGAAAGGGTCTCTGCATCCATGTTAATTACATTCTAGAGCAGTAGCTCTCAACAAAGAGTGATTTGCCCCCTAAAGGACATATAGCAATGTCTGGAGGCATTTTTGGTTATTACAACTGTGTGGCAGGGTATGTACTCTGGCATCTAGTTGGTAGAGGCCAAGGATGCTGCTAAACATCCTACAGTTCATAGGACAGCCCCCCAAAATGAAGAATTATCTCACCAAAAACATCAATAGAGCCAAGGTTGAAAAACCCTGTTATAGAAGAAAGTGACAGAAAATAAACTAGTAAATTAGTTAATGAACAAGATAATTTCATATAATATGTGCTAAGAGGCCCCTTTCAAGTGGATGCTTTTTTCTAATTTGTCTTCTCATTGGGGGTACCTTTTTCTAATTTACACAAGGTTCCTGGATGGGCGAGCAGCCACCCTGACTTAAGATAAAATAATGGTTTGGATCAGTAGAGGGAGGGTACTTAAACTGGATGCAAAGGAAGACTTGTCTGAGGAAAGGACATTTGAACTGAATCTTGTATGACAAGGAGTCTGTCGTGTAAAGATCCACTACAGGGTGTTCCAGGCAGAGGAAATAGGCTTTTCCATTGGTGTCCCTTTTAGGCATGGTATACCAATGAACTTGCTGTGCTTAAGGAGAAAAAGGAGAAGGCCAGGGTGGCTGAAACACATTAAGCAAAGGGAAAGGTGTAGGTCATGCTGAGGAGCTTGGATTTTATTCCAAAACTGTTAGAGAGTTTTTTTGTTTTTTTTTTCTAAAAAGATGACTGGTAAGGGGATCTTAACCCTTGGATTGGTGTTGTCAGCACCACGCTCACCAAAGTGAGCAACCAGCCATCCCTATATGGGATCCGAACCCGCGGTCTTGGTGTTATCAGCACCACACTCTCCCGAGTGAGCCACGGGCCGGCCCCTTTATTGTTGACATTTTGTTATGTTTTTAATGCCTTTCAACTTGGGAGTTTCTTGAGGGTGGGGATCTTTTTCTCATCTTGTCACTTCTGAGTACTCTGATAGGCCTTGCCATAATAGATCTCGTCAGCTTTGTACCCCATGAATATGCATAATCAATAAAAAATAAAATTAAAATTAAAATAGGATTTATACAACTCAGAAAATCCCAATAGGTGAAGTATCCCCCCAGATTCCTACTCAAGGCAGTGTTTAAGTGAACATTTACCTTAAATCAGCTTTGTACCCCATGAATATGCATAATCAATAAAAAATAAAATTAAAATTAAAATAGGATTTATACAACTCAGAAAATCCCGATAGGTGAAGTATCCCCCCAGATTCCTACTCAAGGCAGTGTTTAAGTGAACATTTACCTTAAAAAAAGAAAAGTAATAACAGCAGCTGCTATTTTCTGAATGATTACTATGTGTCAGCGCTATATTAGATATTCCATAAAACTTTTCTAGGTGTCAGGTCATGTTGTTCCCATTTTGCAGATGAGGAAACTGAACCACAGATGATTTTACTTGCTGAAAATCACAATGCTGGTAAACAGTAGAGCTCAGATTCAACCCCAGATCTGTCTGGATATTTTTTCCTTTTCTTTACGCTATGTATACTACTACAAAACAAAGCTCCGAGAGCATTTGATAGTGTCTTCAATTTCTGATTTTTAAAAGAACAGTGATAAAAACTATTAGAGTTATGAGAAACAAAGTATCAAGGCCACTCTTTTTTTAATTTGGTGGCTGGCCAGTACAGGGATCGAACTCTGGACCTTGATGTCACAGCGTTATCAGCATCATGCTCTAACTAACTGAGCTAGCTGGCCATCCCTGGGACCACTCTTTATGGTGCTATTTAGGCCAAGGTGGGAAAAAGTCTGACATATAAAATAGTGTCATTCACTGGCTTCTTACTGCTGGTTCCATTCTCTTTGTACCAGTATACATTAGAAAAGTACAAATCTCAAATTCAGTCTGAATTAGGCAGTTCCTCCTTCCTTTGTAGACTTCTCACCTCCTTATCCCTATTATAATTAAGTTGTTAATTAGGAAAATTACTTCTCCCTAGAGCTTTGTAGACTCTAATTGCCAAAAATGGGTATGATGTGGCCAAGGGGAGTTGTAGGTTTTTCCTTCTGGAATATATTTCTGAATTGGATAAGTTTCCTTTGACAATGCTTTAAAGACAGCTGGTGCTTAAGGTGTGCGTGTGCGTGTGCGTGTGTGTGTGTGTGTGTGTGTGTGTGTGTAAGTGTAATCTCTAAAATGAATAGGGACTGGAGGGTTAAGTTCTTTTTTAAAAAAAAAAAAAGTTGCAAGTTTACTTCCTGAGAGTTTTTCCTCTTTTGGATTTACAGGAAACTGCTGGAAGGTGAAGAGACACGTTTTAGCACCAGTGGATTAAGCATTTCAGGGCTGAATCCATTTCCCAATCCAAGTTATCTGCTCCCATCCAGAATCCTTAGTTCTACAACCTCCAAAGTCTCATCCACTGGGCTGTCACTTAAGAGAGAGGAGGAGGAAGAGGAGGAGGAGGAGGCTTCTAAGGTGGCCTCTAAGAAAACCTCCCAGATAGGGGAAAGTTTTGAAGAAATATTGGAGGAGACGGTAGTATCTACTAAGAAAACTGAGAAATCAGATATAGAAGAAAGCACCATTTCAAACCAAAAAATATAATTCTATTGCTTAAAATAAATTAATGCTTAAGAGGGAAAAATATACATTCAACTTGTTTCACAGCCTATTCCTGAACCATACACCTGTCACCACTATAAAATGTCTTCAAGGCTTCAGTCTCATATTTAGTATTGAATACTTACTCTCTCTAATAGGAAAACCACCCCTTAGGTTAGAGTAAACTGCAGTTCTGGAGCAATCTCAGAGAAGTTATCTAAGAATACAGCTTTCTCACCTAAAGCTCAGGCTTCACAGTAATAGATGATTCGGGTGCAGAGGAAGTACAAACTAAGGTGCTAAATCTGTGATCATCATAATTTGCTGTGAACTGAAATTAAAACCTATATTCATTCACCATACCCAGCCATTGCCCGGCTATATAATTTTACTCTAGATACCTAAAACATTCGATCACTGCCAAAGATAAACCACTGGTCTACACTCAGTTTTACTCTGATAGAACTGTTCCACAAATGACGGGTGTTTATTTGATGGACACATTCCTTCCCACGCCTCTCAATTCCATATATCTTTTTTCTCCATCCAGGGGGGAAAAGAAAGGCAAGTGTAGTATTCTTCCCTGTTAAATACACTTAAGTTCTTCTCAGAAGAACTTATCCCCTTTAGCTCTCTTTGTTCAGTGGGTAAAATTAGATGCATGTTGACCATTTCTATGATTCATATAGTGACTTTTCCCTACCCATTTCATATCCTTTCAATTCTGTAGGTGAAAAAAAATGGCAGTGATGAATTTAAGTGTTTTTCCCAACAAATAAAATAATGAAAATAATCCCTAGATTTTAGGCTTTTGGCTTATTCAGATCTATTTGGGGGAAAAAGCCCTACTTTATTAAAAATGTAGATTTTCACATCAACTTTAGAAGCACGGTAATAGTGATTCCAAGCTGTGATTAAGCTGACCTTAGATTTAGTAGTATAAGCTAGAAGAGGTGAATATTTCTATGAATGGAAAAAGCCAAGGTCTCATTTATCTGTGTCAGTTCACTTGTGGTGATATAGAATTAGCTTTTTCTTGCCCTTACTCTTAGAATACACATATTCCCCCTCCCACTAGTCTAGATCCTAAAGAGGCCTTGCTTTTACTCTCCTATGCCTTTTAAGAGTGCTAAGTATAAGAAGTTTTATCACCAGGACACAATGCTACTGCCCCAAAGTAAAAGAAACCGCTTCTGGTCAATGAACACCACCAGCAAATATTTTTAAAAATTTTCTCTATTCTAAAAGAGTCCTCCCCAACAGTTTCCCTATTGCTGCATTGTTGGTGGGGTCTCCCTACCCTGCTGGAGAGGAAGAGACACTCAGACCACAGGGGTGTGCATGCTCCTAATCACTTGCTAGGAAGTAGAATCTGGAGAGTCCACTCTTCATCTGCCCAGCTGTGTAGCATCTGCATTGCCCAGCATTCCACGTGTGCCAAGCTTGATGCAGGATCTGTTCTCTGCCAGCAGCCACTTGCACCAGAGCTAAAAGTTGCCCTGTCTCTGTTCCACATCTCTATTCAGAGCTCTGTGGTAATAAGGATGTGATGCTTTTACTTAACTTTCTTATCCTAGCACATGTTTCAATAGTTTAAGGAACTGAAAGATACTTTTCTTCCTTTTCCTTACCCTATCTCTGTCTTTACTCCTCACACTTACTGTAAGACAGTAGTAAAATAAATTAAAAGTTACATGAATCCTGTCAACATAATTTGTTGTTCTGTGGTTTCTGCTGTTGCACTGAGAGTGTGCTGTTCAGGTTCAGTCAGTCTGGCTCTGACTAATTTGTGTATTCTATTTTCGGTGTGTCACTACTAATTGCCATGAACTCATTTATAAAAGAAAGACATTAAGAGCATTTTACGGAGTTGAAAAATTATTAAATCAGAATAATAGGTAACATAGAAAACATTGTTCAGGATCCTTAGGCAAAGAGGTGAAGGGACAGGGAGAAAGCAGCATCAGCTGTTGACAATGGGACAGCAAATGAGTCCTAGAGATTGTGGGGTAGCCTGCCTGTAAGGTATATGATATCCAAGACGACTGTTAGACAGAGATCCCCTGCATCCTGAGACTTACACTTATTAATAATAGCTATAATTTACTCAGTGCCTACTTACATGTCAGATATTGTACTAGGCAGTAAACATAAAATTATTTAAACCTCACAACCACTCTTTAAGTGTAGTATTTATATACCCATTTTACAAATGATGAAGTAGAACCTCAGAGTAACAAGGTTAAGACCCTTGTCAGATGTCACAAAATAAGTAGTACAGCTGGGATTTGGACCTTGCTGTTCCATCTGACTCTATAGTGCCTGTTTTTCTTCCCTATGCTGCCTCTTTACATTTAAAAAAAAGGAAAAAAAGTCCTCTCATTTTATCTTCTTTTTCACCCCTTCCTCTCCTGGTTTTATTTGAGGTTTCTCTGCCCCAGAAACCCTTGGCAACGCTGAGTCCCATAGGACTCAAGACATCCTCAGCCTACTATGCCTTCCTGCATTGCAGTGAGGTGGTGGTAGCTCAAAACTGGGCTATGGGCCCATCCAACCATGAGTCATCTCTGTTCCTGCTAAAAATTAGAATTGTGTGTTATTTCCCTATTTAAAAGGGAGTGGGGTGGGATTTCTTATACTTTTGCAAAGGAATTCTGTAGTTTCTCATAAAAGGGCCTGTAAATGAGAGAGTATTACAGAAGCAACAATTCTGTGAGAAGTATTAAATCCAGGATACCTAGAATTCATTTTACTGCACTGGCTAAAGAGGGCGGCAAGATTTGAGCAATTTCCTGGAAGCTAGATTCCAAAGTTTAGCTCCAGAGTTAATGCAAGTCACAAATAATCATGGGAATAAACGTCTAGAACTTACCTGTGAACTCAAGCAGAGGGCTCACTACCACCATTCATGGCTCTAAAGGTAAACATGAAACTCTTTTTTTTTTTTTCCTTTTTGTCTTTTTTACTGACCAGTAACAGGATCGCAACCCTCAGTGTCACGCCCATACCGGGGACTGGCAACGGGATCGCAACCCTCGGTGTTGCGCCCACACCGTGCTCAGCCAGTGAGCGGAACCGGTATCCACATGGGATGCGAACCCTCGGCGGGAGGGTCGCCGCGCTCCCAAGCGGCGCACTCTCCAGTGCGCCACCGGGCCGGCCCAAACATGAAACTCTTTTAAAAGTATATTTAAAAGTCTGTTGGAACAGAAAGCAGAATGGTAGTTGTCAGAGCTAAAGAGAGGGGGCATATGTGAAATTTTATTTTTCTTTACAGAACATATCTCTTGCTATTGCCATTCAATGAATATGGGGTTTTATTTTGGAGTGATGGAAATGTTTTGGAACTAGATAGAGGTGGTTGCTGCACAATATTGTTAATGTATTAATTAGCACTGAATCATTTGCTTTAAAATAATTGATTTTATATTATGTAGATTTCACCTCAATTTAAAAAATCCATTGAGGGGTCGGCCCGGTGGCGCACTGGATAGTGCGCCGCTTGGGAAGCGCGGCGGCGCTCCCGTCCGAGGGTTCGGATCCCACATACAGACCGGCTCCCGCTCACTGGCTGAGCGAGGCGCGGGAGCAACACCGAGGCTTGCGATCCCGTTGCCGGTCCCGGTCCGGTACGGGGGCAACACTGAGGGTTGCGATCCGGTGCCGGACATGGAAAAAAGACAAAAAAATAAATAAATAAAAAATAAAAAATCCATTGATAGAATTATCAGAAAAATACAATCATGGAAGTCTACCACACATGCTCCAGCTGAGACCACTATGCACAGCCACCTGGGTCAATTCCAATTAGAAGAATCCCATTAGGACAGCAAAAGCCAGATAAAATAAGAGCACCTATTTCAAAACAAAGGCTGGGAAAAAAGCCAGAAAATCTCCCTGGATATAAATGAAAACGAAACAAAACAAAAAACCAGCTAGGAATGTTGCTTACTTATGAGCACCCATCACTGATTTCCAACTAATCATTTTTTTTTATTATATCATCACACATCTCTAAGGATCTGAAAAACATCTAAATCATAAGAATACTTTCTTTCCTCCCTAGGATCAAATAGATTGGTGTACCTGAAAATTAGCACAGAAATTTAAAATGGAAGTAACTGAAAGGGGGCTTCATAGGCCTTTAAAACAAAGCTCATATGTGAAATTTTATTTTTCTTTACAGAATATCCAATACTGGCCTTGCAACATTTTCAAATGTAATGTACAGGTTAGACTGATGTCATCATGCATTTTGCTATTGTCAAATATCTCACATGTATACGCTATTTGCAAATAGGGTGAGTGCTCCTGAATCCAACCAAAGGACTAATTTTATTACATTATTATGCCCTGCTGCATACCCTTAAAGGATGACCAGAATGAATACTGTATGGATCAAAGGGCTTCTTCCTTCTTTTGTTGTTCTCCTAGATGATTTGATTACCTCCATGCTTTATGCTGATATTTCACAAGCTTACTAGGTGGGGGTGGGGACCAGCTAAGATTCATAAATCCTTTCTTAACAATCCCTTTAAAACACACACATACATAACAAGAATATAATAAAACAGTGAGTCACACAGCAGATATTTAAAGATTCATGTTTGTGCAGTGCCTCAGTGATTCTAAATGAAACAATAGAGAAAGCTGAGGCTACAAAGGAAAATGAAGATTGATCTTGGATGGTTCTCTAGCTTGCTTCCTCACTGATTAATCGCTGTAGATTACCATATGGCTACTCTCTCCCCTGATGAGGCAGGTGGCCTCTTCTGTGTCTGAGACATCTCATTCTAGCTCTATCACATACATACTCTTAGGGGTTATAGAATGCTCAGCAGAGTGTAACCAAAATCATTTGCATAAAGACTGAGGTTTTGGAATACAATCAGTAGCAGGTTCTATTCAATTGCTGATTACTGCACGGGGCAAAAAAGCATTTTCCTTAGAAGTGCTTATTAAAACAAATTAACTCACTTAGGAGAGTTATCTGCTATGACATGAATAAATGTGAGGTATAACATCCATCTCCCACGATTTTTTGGCATAAGGATTCATATATAACATACAGAATTCCTGTAGTCCTTCAGGGTTTGACAATTCTTTATCTTTACCTTAAGCCAGACTTTAGCTCAACAAGAGGAACTCTTTCTGGCAACTGAAACTATCTGTCCATGGAATAATCTGGTCTGTAAAACAGAAACAGATGAGCCAAGATTAGAATTAGGGTGAAAGCAGAATCCAGGTCCAACTTCAGAGCCTGAGATGCTAATCACCAAGCTGTACCCCCACCCCTCTCCTGATTATTAATAGAAGCAGATAAGGCAAGAAGATATGTAAGAAAGGAAAAAATAGATGGTTCAGCACCAATCTTGCAATGTTAATAGACTCCCTTATTCATTAGAAAGGACTACCTCAGCAAAGTAATCTGAGAACTTACTACATAAGGACCATATCTGAACGTAATAACAGACTATGCTAAGTACTATTCTGAGTGCTTTACATACTCATTTAATTCTCATGACAACCCTTTGAGTTAGGTACCATTGCCCCCTTTTACAGAAAAGAAGTTTAGGACATGAACTCAAAGTTACATAACTTGTCCAAGATCACAGTTCGCAAAGAACAATGCTGGGATCTAAAGCTATGCAGTCTAGCTCCACAATTCATGTCCTTAACCACTAAGTACTACTTTCTTTATGTCTTTTAGGTGAAAAAATATGTTCCTCGCAAACTTTGTCTTCTTCATCTTCTAATTTAAAATATTATTCAACTAGTTTTCCTCTTAGGAAAATGTTCTATCAGAAACATTAGAGGAAAAAAATCTTTTCTCATTTTTTTTTTAAAGATGACCGGTAAGGGGATCTTAACCCTTGACTTGGTGTTGTCAGCACCACGCTCAGCCAGTGAGCGAACCGGCCATCCCTATGTGGGATCCGAACCCGGGGCCTTGGTGTTATCAGCACCGCACTCTCCCGAGTGAGCCACCGGCTGCCCCAATCTTTTCTCATTTTAATGAAAATAGTATCACAATTAGAACCCTTGTAAGACCACAAACACCATCAGAACAAAATCAAAATGCAGTAGAGATCAAGCCATAATACTCATTCCATGTGAATAAATGCTTGGCAGGCTTTCAGGAGATCAATATGGTATTTCATTTGTGAGAGGACTGTTAATCTTTACAGGTAATAAAATTTCGATTTCACTAGTCCAGTTTTGAAGACAGGCCAATAATAAAACTCATGTGCACAACAACATATTGAAAAGGGATAAAAAATGAGGACCTAGTCTTTTTTTTTTCTTTTCCTTTTTGGTGGCTGGGATCCGAATCTTTGACCTTGGTGTTATAACACTTGGCTCTAACCAACTGAGCTAACCAGCCAGCCCTAGGGCCTACTATTAAGTCGTGATCTACTGAAGAAAACAAGATGGACATTCAGAATCAGCATCTGCTTGAATCTCCTCTATTACCAGAGGTTTCCTAGATGACAAAATATAGCATAGCAGTTGCAACCATGACACTTTTTTTTTTTTTTTTTTTTTTTTTTACTGTCCATACAACTCCAGTGGGAGAAGACAATCAGAAGCTTGTGCCCGGTTTTCCCAGACTCCACCCTCTGCCCTATACACCTATTCCCTTTGCTGACTTTAATCTGTATCCTCTTACTGTAATAAACCATAACCATGAGTATAACAGCTTTTCTGGGTCCTGTGAGTCCTTCTAGGGAATCACTGAACCTGAGGGTGGCCTTGGGGATCCTGACATAGAGATGTTAACACAGGATAATAAAAATATTAAGTAATTTGTGCAAAACTATTTAAGAGGCAATGAATTCTTTAGTTGCTATTCTGTCCATTGTAAAATAAAGCATCTAGTATAGTCAGTGAAGGTAAAGATGTTTATTAAATATCTATTTGACAGCAGTATAACTTTGACTTGGAAACCCTGTCTCTTAAAGGGTTTTGGTAATTTTAAAAAATCACAGTAAACACGAACATTTCAAAGTAGGTAAAAATAAATTTTTATTAAGTGTTAGAAGAGATTTATATGCAATTCACAAATTCTTTACAAATATTGCCAATCCTTGTCCAATTTTTTAATAGTTTCTACACAGCTTTGGAAATTTTGCTGTGAAATAGGGTCTACAAAATATTTCTTTTAGAAAGCATCACAGTGCTAATTTAGGCAAAATAATGTTTAAAACTGAAGTCTTTTCATGAAAGTGAGCTCTCACTTTTATTCTCTATCCCAGTGACAAAATAATAGGATCATGAACATTAAATTGAGTTAACAATGAATACTATTCTGTAAACCTCTCAAATTCACCTAAAATTTTTTATTACTTTCAGCAGTGCCATCACAAGGTAACAAAAACCATACTATGTACTCAAATAAAATGAATGTGAATCAAATTAACATTCGAAGAACAAAAATATTGTCACAAAGAAGCATCCCTTATTGTAAGATATGTTAAAGAAGTCATTACACTGAAAGCTTATGGCATGGGCCATAGACCTTACAAGAGACAATCTCTTCACACAGAATAATGATAATTCACCCATTTTAGAACTGAATAAACATCTCTTTAGTAGTGTAGCTGGTACAAAAAAAAGATTCAAGTTCAAAATATGATGGCAACATATAAAAGTGGCCAATGGTTTTGATTTTTGTCTAGACTACACCCTGTGGTTTAACAAAGACTGGCTTTGAATCTTCCATTCAAAAGCATACTTCTTTTTCAAAAGGAAGGTTGCCCACTAATGCCATCCCAGGGAGCAGAATCCCAACCACCAACTTGAAAGAGATATGACTCAACAAAGAACAGTAACCAGGGCCGGCCCGGTGGCGCACTGCTATAGTGCGCCGCTTGGGAAGTGTGGCGGCGCTCCCGCTGAGGGTTCGGATCCCACATACAGACCAGTTCCCGCTCACTGGCTGAGCGAGGCGTGGGAGCAACACCGAGGGTTGCGATCCCGTTGCTGGTCCCGGTCCAGTGCGGGGGCGACACTGAGGGTTGCGATCCGTTGCCGGACACGGAAAAAAGACAAAAAAAAAAAAAAAAAAAAAAAAAAAAGAAACCAATTTACCTCAAAGATGGGAAGCAAAAATCAAAGTCAAAGTGTTTGAAATCACAGGAATTTAAAAATTCAATATATTGAAATTTTTTCCCTGAGCTATGGATGCTTTTTATATATAGTCTCTAGTAAAACAGATGTATTGCATCATTCCAAGTTGTACTTATAAATGCTATGATTCTTGGTGCTGAAATTAGATAAGTTATGTCTTGAACAGCATAAAGTGGTAGCAATTACATGTTTCGTGGAAATCTTTGGTGAGATGCAGTCCTGCAGAAGCCTCCTTACTCTGTTTCCTTCCTCATAATATGCCTAGAATTTTCAAGTTATTTTCAGAGGAGAAACCACAAGACCATAATGAAGGACAAGCAGACCATCCTGAAAAAAGAAGGAAAAAAAAGACTTATTTTGCTCTTCTTTGAAAACCAATTATGTAAATGATCAAGTCAAAGCTGGCTCATTTTTCATAACTCAACACTAATGTGAAATTTTTTGATTTATAGAGAATAAACAGCCCAAGAGAAATATGCCTGCTTATGCACTCACCTCATCACCAGACACTCCTTGTCAGTGTGTCATTTTAATGATTCCCAGGAGCCAATTCTCAAACTATCACGTATCCATAGTTAGCCAGGGTTGTTTATCACTAAACAATTCTCCAAAAAGAACTAAAAGACATATACCTTTCCTTCTCCACAGACTACTTAATGGACTAAGCAAGCATTGAGCAACCCTAAAAAAGGACTCAACTGTCACAAAGCGTCATGAATCTGTTTTCTGAAACATTCATTTGATAAATGAAGCTCGCTACTGTAAAGTGATAAAACTTTGAAACTCTTGCCCATTTGATGGAAGCCTAAAATATATCATATATTTTACTTCCTGCTTAAAGACTGTCCTCAGAAGTTGTTGGGCAAATTAATTCTACACTAAAAGATTCCAGATGCTGTATTTTTATTTGCTTTTTGTGGGTTTCTGTGTCCTCTGTTGATATTAGGTCTTAAATTCTCTGTGCTCTCACCAAGGCTGAATCTAGCAAGCAATCCACCCATTATGAACATGAAAACTAGATAAAAAGGAAGGGTCACTGGGAAATGTGCCATGAATCTGCTCTGAGCAACACAGACAAGGTGTAGTGGTACACATGCCTTGCACTTCTAATCCTACTGTGGCTATATCACTCCCTATTTTTTCCTTCTTTGCTAAACTTTTCCATGGCTCCACTTCCTCGTTTCTTTTCTTTTCTTTTTTTTTTTTTAATTTGAACATTTCTTTTTCTTTAAAAAAAAATTTTTTTTTAGGGCTAGCTGGTTAGCTCAGTTGGTTAGAGCATAGCCTTATAACACAAGGTCACGGATTCGGATCTCCATACTAGATAGCCACACACAAAAAAAATAATAAAAATTTAAAAATTTTTGGCAGCTGGCTGATACAGGGATCTGAACCTGTGACCTTGTGTTATAAAGTGGAACTCTAACCAACTGAGCTAATCAGCCAGCTCAACTTCCTCATTTCCTATTCACTATTCTTCTCATTGCAATATGGCTTCTTCTCCTGGCAACTCCAGCAAAAACTCACCAGGATTTTGTACAACAAATTCAAATGCCCATAAGAGCCAGGAAAGTAGCACAAACGAATGTGTAAGTTAGGTATGTGAGTCAATAGGGAAAGTTGAAGAGTGCTAACCAGAGAGCAGATGCTTGTCTAAAGAAATTTAAACTAAAAAATATTTAAAACACAAAGTCAAATAAAGCATAACTTCATACCATGTTTGGTCCATGGACTGCCAGATCTGTTCTAGACTGATTAGCCTGATCAAAGTAAATGAATTTGTATTGTAACACAAACAGATTCTATTAACATTTTTACATGCATAGAAATTACATTTTAGGGCCGACCCGGTGGCGCACTGGATAGTGCGCCGCTTGGGAAGCGCGGTGGCGCTCCCGCCCGAGGGTTCGGATCCCACATACAGACCGGTTCCCGCTCACTGGCTGAGCGAGGCGCGGGAGCAACACCGAGGGGTGCAATCCCGTCGCCCGGCCCCGCACCGC